CTGAAAACCCCCTTAGCTGCTGATTTGTGTCATAGTTATCCTTTAAGGCAGGCAATGACAAGCTGTTGAGAGATATTAACCCAGCTGCTAACGTGCATGGAAGAGTGCAAACTCAAGCATTAATCTTGTTTTGTGGCTTTTGTTGGTGCTGCATAAAGGTAGGTGTATTGTAATTGATCTCTAGACCAGAAAAGAAACATTAATACATAGCTAGTAGCTGTAGAGTCAAAATAAAGGCCCGCGGGATAATAGAAAATTCTTTGTTCACCCAGGGAAAGATTTACAACTTCATCAGCCAGTTGAGAACACAACATTATTATATTGTCAAATTTTAGTAATTTTGCACTGATGTGTAGGAAATCGCCAGATATCCTGATAAATTCGTTTGAGCCCAGATCTACTAAATGACTTGGCACATTTTTAGGCACAGTTAGACACCCTGAGTATAAAATTGCAGTTCTGAAGGCTCCTATTTAGCTCCCCTCTAACACTGGCAGTGAGTCAAAGCACTAAGTACCTATGATTTAGCTGATATTGATACTGCCTCTCACATGCTCAGAAGCACCTTATCCTTGATAGAACCAACTGCTAATCTCATGCCAAAACCATATCATTAGCCACAAATCAGATATCTGTCTGCCTCTGTGGCCTTTGAGGCTTGTTCTAGTTAATTTTCTCTAGGCTTAGATTTTGTGCTGAACAGAAACTAGCAGCATGAGGCTTTTTATTCCAAAGTTCATGGCTTCCAGGGATGACAGTGTGGGGTCTGGCAATATCTGCTATCCAGCCAGTAGGCAGGTGGTCAGAGCATGCCTCCAGGCTATGGAAGTCCCCAGCCTTGTTCCACCTCTGCCTGGAGCATTGGGGCTGCCCTCCACAGCCAGGAGGAGTGGGGGAAGTTGGGCTCACTGTTGAATTTCTTTCCATTTGCAGCGAGAAAGTAGACACACAGGGCATTCACACATGGTAACCTGGATTTCAGTCCCAAAGACTGAAAGACTCCAAGGAGTGCTGGCAGTGTTTTATCCAGGGACTGTTTCATGCAGATAACAACATTTGCACACACCTCCAGTGTTGGTTGTCCTTGGTCCTCAATCTATCGCCAGTTATCCTTCCTCATTCTTTTCTGGCACAATAAATCTACTTTTATACAATTCAAAATGAGGGTGAAGGAGAGTCCTTCTTTCCCCAGTGCCCATGGCGATTAGCTCTGGGAGTTGTAGTTTTAAATCTCTTTCTACCCCCAGGTTTTTAGGTCTCTGGCCGAAAGCTCTAACCTGGGATAAAGAACAAGTGAGTACCTGTGGGATCATGTTGAACTGCTGCAAGTCCCGTAGGGGAAGAGGTGCTTCCAAACTTTACTAAAGCCAGACAGACATCAGATTAGAGATTTCCCTTTCCTCCGTTGTGGTGGGCTGATGTTTTGCATTGATGCCTTTAGGAACTGCAGGGCTCAAATGCCAGCAAAGAATCCCTTGGTATATGTATGTCTTTGTAACTCAGTGAAGCAACACAAAAGTTGCTCATAACCTCATTTGCACAAGGAAGATCTGAGATACCTCATTTAAGCACGTTACTGTTTATCATCCTGGACCAGCTCCTTGGATGGTAGAGGCTGATATAACTGCTTTGATTTCAGCATAGTGAAAAGCAATTTAGGACAGCGTATGGTGGGATTCTGGCCAACAAAACTTGTCTGAGTAATACAACCTCAGATGTCGAGTATCTCCTTAGCTTGTGTATCTGCACTGAGAAAGGGATCATGGCTCATTTCTGGGGGAAAATAGTGAGTTTGTAGGTGTGTGAGCTATAACGAGAGTAAATACCAGATAATCAGAAAACGTGGGAATGTAAGTGGGATCTCTGTACTGGTTCTCACAGTGCGTTCAGAAGTGAGGCTGTTAGTTATTTCAGAGCTGTAAATGCAGGTGTTCCACACCTCCTGTGAAATAGAAACTATGACCTAGAAGGGTAGTGAAAAATCCATAATTATGCCTCAGTAGGTCTTATCATGGATGGGAAAATAACCACTAGCACAGAATCGGGGTGGTAATGGGCAAACCTTGCTTTCTAGGAAGTCACTTACCCCTTCACCCCCACTGATATACTAAAAGATTCAGTCAGTAATGTCTCTTTAAAATTTACTGTCTTAGCTGCTGCTTTTCTGTCCCCATCACAGAAAATGTATTATGTGGTAGCAGACTCACATTAATGCAGCTTTCAAGCCCAAATAGAGTCTGATGTGTTCTTTTGTAATAGGAGGTTATAATTTTTGTTACCTACCCCTTAATTTTCAACCTATGAATACTTTTTCCCTAATTTTATTGTACCAGCAGTTATACAGATTAGCTGATTTGCATGTTCTGCCAAGCTAAACTGAAAAGATTCCTGTCTTCATTTATTAAGCAAACACATACCTCAGGAGTATTTCTTTGGTTAACTTTTCATTTTTAAATAGAAAGGACTGACAAAAAATATATTTGTTTAGGAGGGATGGAGGGGGGTCAGTAAAGGCACTAATGAAGCAGTAGTTGTTTCAAGGTAGCTTCTCAGGTATTGATTTTTAACCATTGAAGAGAAATATAATATTTATGTTCAGGCTTGGTGAAGAAGTGTACATTATTTGACAAACAAATCCCTATTTAGACTTCTGTACTAAGTTAATCCTTAGGTTGGCAATTGATCACTTTCAGCAGTTTGTGTTTTCCCCTAGAAGGCAGTATTTGAAGAAAAAAATAATAATAAAAAAGTCTGTTTCTAGTTATGGGAAGCAGGACTGAGTCACCTTTGGACTTGCAGAGAACCCAGCCTGGCCCCATGGCTTCTCACACTGGGTCTCAGCTGCCTCTGCTGCCAGTTCCCGACCTGTCAGGAGTCAGCAGGATGTATATGTAGTGTATGGACAAAAGGTGAACCACAGGCTGCGTATGACCAAGCTGCAAAACAGTGACAGTGGGTGGGATGTGAGGAGAAGTGCTTCCTCCTTGTGAGATCAGAGCAGTCGTCAAGGCTCTTTCAGGCAAGAAAGTGTATTGGGTATATTGTCCATTTTTATCAGCTGCAGGTCCTACTGTTCTTAATGTTAGGATTTTTCAGGAACCTTGCTAATCCCTTATAAATTCTAGGTAGCTCACTGCTGGGATGATAAATGTGACAGTTTCCATCCAGGGACAACTCCGGGGTCCGTCCTCCCAGTTCACCATAGTCTAAATTTATAGAAAACAGCATGTGACAGAAAGTCAGTGGAAGGGGAGCATAAGCACAGATACTCAGGCTGATATGTTATAAAACTATACAGCGAATTTCCTAGTACCTCCTTTTTGTCTAAAAGAATTTCCACGAAGCAAAGTGCTAAGGCATCAAATGCTTTCACATACTAGACACACAGGATGTTTAATCCTTGAAAAATACACTACAGCATTAGAATCACAGATATCGTCACTTGTTTGTTTTTTTCTTTTTTTGTAGGTAAGAGTCATTTTTCAGAGAAACATTGTTAGCTACGCTAAGAAGCTTTATTGAAGAGGTCTCTGTGCCACAATAGATTTCCTGAAAAAGAAATGATTGCACCACCCAAATGCTCTTGAAACTCTAGCAAAATGCTGGTGGGAGGAAAGGCTGCCTACCAGGAGTTTACCTAACCAAAAGAATATGTTTTTCAATACAAATTGCTGATGTCTACGTAAGGAGATCCCAGTTAGCCCAACTCACTTCCTGACTAAGTGAAGGGCATTGTTACCTCTGGAAAATGCAAGTTCGACACTAAAAGAAAAACAAATCTCAGCTGCCCTAACACAAAAAATCAGTAAAAGAAAAAATCAGGGATGAGGCTGCACAGCCAGCCATGCCATTTGTGTGTCAGCATTACACTGCATTGTGGTGCCATTGCATCCAGTAATCAGCTCACACCCTTGAATTTCCTTGATAAATCACACTCAAGGAGCTGTTTTTGAAATCCCTTCACCCCAAAATTCTCTCACCTGCTATATTCTATAAATTCTTCCAGATAAGCACCATCAGGTCTGTATAGCACTGCACAGCACGTTTGCCAGCAAACCCTCTTGCTTGGTGCCATTCAGGATCCCAGTCCTCCCGTGGACATTGTATGGATTGGCACCATTGAGATCCAGCAGGAAACTGGAGGAAAACCAGCTTGGTGTGCTTGTGACAAAGCCAGTTTGTTTAAACAGGGAAGTGAACACAGTTGCTGTGGCAGACTTATGTGAAGAGTCTTTCTGATATGCTGAAGGAAAATTACTCCAATATTTTCATCAAAATATTATGAACCCAGCACTGATTGGAATGTTTTACATTACTCAGGGCTTCTGACATACAAATTTAAAGATGTTTGCCTTTAGAAAAACAAGTTCTGTTCATTGTCTTGCAGTTCTCAGTTGAATCTTTATAAATCAACATTAAGTTCCTGTGAGTGTACTCTTTGTCACTGAATTACAGACCTGTCTACTGATAAAAGGATAGTGCTGTAGGAAAAGACAGAAATGTCAGTAAGCTCATGCTGATCTGGTACAACAGGTTCCTTGTTATTAGATAGAAGCTAAAATAAAGCAATGAAATCTGAAATGTGTTTGTTCTCATGAAAGTCTGCTGGTTTATGGCTGTATAAGGTTGCTTCTCTTGTTTTTGATGAAATACAGAGGCAATAATATATGGGTGTGTACTGGACTTGCTGTGGTTAAAGCAGTATGTCAGATTTAGTGTGAAAATGGTTTTGTTTTTTAGCAGCGATGATGTCTGCATATCCCAGGACTTACTATTGCCAGGTTTTTACTCCTGGGCTATTTGTATAACACAGCCATAGAGAAATTGCACAGGAAATTTGAATTTCTTGTACTGTCAGACAAATAAGGTGTATTCTTTAACGATTTTAATCAAAAGTAGCCACAACATTGAAAAAAAAAAAAAAAGTTCTAGCAATTGCTTGTATTAATATATAATGTGAGATAACTTTGACTTGACCTTTTTGTAATATGTATTCTTAGATCTGCCATCCAGAAGCTGGGAGCGGAGGTGTTTGAGAAAGTGTACACCTATCTGAAGCAAGCAAGAGAGCAGAAGGCCAGTGAGGAGGAAATCAGGAGATACCTGGAGAAAATGGTTTCCAGAGCAAGTGATTGCTTTGAGGTGGATCAGCTTCTCTACTTTGAGGAGCAGCTACAGGATTCAGAAGCACATCTTCAGCTGTAAAATGTTTGACAGTAACAGTGCGGGAAGCAGAAAGGAGGACTGAAAGTGGTGAGCTGCCTTCTTCAGGCCAGCAAGCAAATCCTAGAGGTATTTGGAGGAAACTACTGAAGGTAACTCAGCACACAAACAGGTGGGCAAACTGATGGAGAGTCCAGTCTGTACAGTGAGAAGTGGGTAAATGTGGTATCATTTGCAGGGGCAGGAAGTAAAACAGTTTGTCACAGTGGAGTGGGGGATTCACAGTTATCAACATCCCCTTTTCACCACTAAGAGCATTAAGAAAGCTATTCTCCTGGGCACTGGGCAGGCTTAATCCTGCACTCAGTCACTGGTGAAGCTGCCTGTGTTGGAAATGGTGCAGGATTAGACTCCAGCTGCTGTTGATTCCTGTGCTAACTGGTCGTCATGGCATTTAAGCATGTCTTTTTTGTACTTTGGCAGACTTACCCTTGAACACACGTATCTATGCATTGGGCTACTCAGCCAGAAATTGTCTTGTTATCATTCATTATTCAAAAGACTGCATTTAATCCATGTGCCTTCCAATGAAACTGTACAGATACAAGCATACATGTATAATTGTTTACATATATGCATAGAGACAGAAAGATATTTGGCCACATCATCATATATTTTTATGTGTATAGAGACAGAGACATGAGGTCTGAGCTGTAGATGATTGTGGTAGGTAGGAATCCTTATTGTGGCTTTTGGGAGTTTTAAATCAAATTCACTGTACACACATGGAACAATAAACTAGTTTTTTGGGTTTTTTTTTGGCTTGCACGTGGATATTGCTTTCTTTTTTTCATAGCATTTATATTCCCTTCTTCATATGCATCATACTTTTGCTGTATATATCATGCTCTGATAATATACCTGATTATTTCCTTCTCCCTGTTCCTTCTTTATTCTGCATTCTGAGCTCCTTCATCCATGTAAAACACTAACAAAAAATTAATTGGTATGATGTATAGAAGAATCTCAAGTGAATTGTGGACCAAGTTTATTTCAGGCATCTAGCCGTTACCTATGATTTCTGCTTTTGTGTCACAACTCCTCAAGTACTCAAGGGACTGAATCAAATAAATAAATGCAAATTCATAATGTAATTATCAAAAAATGTTGCTGCTTGACTTGGACTACAACTAAGGATAGTGGGATTGGTAGTAAATTAAGCAGTAGTACTGATCCATCTTTTTGACATGCTTTAAGAGACTCAAAGGGAAAGGCAAATAGTCACCTTAATCTACCTCAGCAGCAACACAAGCAGCAGAATCAAAGGATGTGCCCAGCTAAGGAAGATGTGGTGCTACACTTCTGACCAAAGTTACAGAAGATCCTGACACATCTGACTTCAGCTTCTGTTGGGAGTACGTGGTGTTAACAATCTGGAGGCTGAAATCCAACATGATGTTCACTGAGGTAGGGAGACTTATTTTAATTCCGTGTGGTGGTTCAGATCCCATAGGAGAGGCAGCCTGAAGCACAGATTCTCAGTCAGGCTTCAGTTTTCATCCTTCTCAATGTTGTGTCTGTGTACTTGGTTCCATGTTTTTTACACACAATGTCATTTAAGGACACTTAAAAAAAAGAAGATGAGTTCTTGGATGTTCAAAAAGCAAAAAGTAAGTGGCATATGGTGGGAATAATCTCAGCCAGATACAGCCTTGACTACTTCATTTACCTCTGGCTATGATTCAGACCGATTTAACAAAAAAAAAAATATTCAAAAAACAAACTCTGTAAGCAAGCAGTTGCTTTTTATTAATGAGTAATACCTCATCAGACTTCTTCCTGGAGCATGCAAGAAAAAAGAACTGCACAGGAATGGGTCAAGCTCTCTAGAGCAGTCTGGTACCAGGGAAATCATTAAAGGGCAACCTTAAAGTCTGGAAAGTATGGGTTAGCCATGCAGATTACCCTCAGGGAAGTGGTTGCTCTCTGATGAGCAGTACATTTGCTTGTTGCACACGAGGAAGGAATCATAGCATCTTTTACGGTTACTCAGTTGCTTTGTTCTCCCTGCAGGATATGACCTTCAAATGATGTGAGGATCTGGAGGTTACTGCTTTACTGGTTATATGCTTCAAACTGTGTTTAGGTTTTGGTGTTGTTTTTGTTTGTTTGTTTTTCCCCTGTCAGTCATATGACAATTATGTGACATGATATGCATGTTAAACTCAGCAGGAGGCTTTTTGTCTTTGAGCTGTAGTAAGAGCATAGTGATAAATCCCATAGGTTTGACAGAGATACTTGCATCCCTGTTTAAATCGAGGGTCACTTTCCAAAAGCACTAGGTGGCATTATATGCCTTTGTCTCTAATCCAGGGCTTGCTCACAGATCAAAGCTATCTTGATTCAAGGACATATCATAGTTTGGGCTATGTTTTATTCTTAAGGATTTCCATAATTTGTTGCTTATGAAGAGCACAAACTGTCTGCTGAATACATTATGGAGTGTTTTGAATAGCATGCCTGAGACTGTATATTATTGTAGTAGAATTAGCAATGTGTTCGTGAAAAATGTCATACATAATAATTATAAGCACACTTGAAAACAGTCTTGAAGTCCCTTTGAAAATGTTCTCTTTGTGTTATTTTCTAAATGGTTTATTTGTTCCCTTGAAAACAAAAGATTTCAGTTCTGAGAATCTGTCACTTCTACAATTGCTAACAGTACAAGCCTAGAAAACAGAAGCAAAATCTTGAATCAAGATGTAAGCATACTCAAATAAAGTAATCAAGGAATTGAAAAGAAAAAAAAAAGGCAAAACTACTCTCATCTTCCAGTAACTCCAGGCCTTTGCGGATTGCATCTGCTCCAAAGTTCTCAGCAAATTGCTGGGCTTTCCAAAGAGCCCTGAAATTGCATAACCCAGGTCATGACCAGTTCTCAGAGACAGTGAGGTCTATCCCCTTTAAAATTTATAAAACTCATTGAATGTCTTCTGTCGTTCTGTCTTTGGTATCCTGGGGGGAGGATATACATGAGGAGTTAAACTCAATTCTGCAGTTTATTTAGTTCTGTAGCTGGGTTTTGGGTTGCTTTTAGTGGTGTTTAAAGGCCTTTGAGTTTTCTCCTGCACTCTTGCAGCTGCGCAGTAAGTAGCCATCAGCGGGGATTTTGTATGCTATCCCCAGGCTTGCAGAGATGGGCATGTGAGACAAATATTGTGACATGGAACAATTTACACATCTCGGTGTAGAGAGATTGGTCCCACACTGCCAGATAGACTGAGTCTATTAAGCTTAGTGAATGTGCATTTGATGCCATGCTGATAATCTCTGTATAGAGTTATTAGATTAATTATTTTTCTGTAATCAAGTTTACTATAATAAAAATGAATAGTGAATTTTAAATTAGCAAAAGAAGTACAGAACTTAATCCTTAGAAATGAGTAAGTCCTTAGAAATGCAAAAAGTCTCAAGAAAGCAGGAGCAGATAAAATGGCTACTGCATCACAAAGTCCATTAAGCAATGGTCTTGCTCCATCAGGCTGTAAGCAGGCCTCACTCTTCTACAAGCAAGTCTATGTACAAAGGTGGAAGTGCAGAGTCCTTTTCTAACCTAATAAAACATTGACAGAAGGGTATACATAGATCAAATTCATCATATTACTTGTATATTGAGATTTATTAGGCAAATGCAACAAATCACCATAAAAGAAAAAAAAAAAAGGAAGAAGAAAAAAAAAAAAGAAAAAGCACCCTTTTCCTAAAAGATCAGATCTTGTATAAGAAACATTTTATTTTTTTTAATGTACAGGTTTATTCTGCTTCCTGGGAAAAAGGGCTTATGATGAAGGAAAGACTGAATCCCTATCTTTTATATATGAAATGCATTTTATACATGAAAACATTCACTTTTGTAAAAGCAAATTCACTTCCAGCAAAATCCCACTGTTGGTATTTAGCAGTAGACATCTTGAAAGAGGAGAACTGTTAGTATCATGGATCTTCAGTAATAAAGAAGAAACAGAAGAGCAGCTGGAAGTAAGTGTGAGAAAATAAATTAAAAGACATTAGATTGCTGTGGATAGGGCTTCATAAAAGGTCCCATTTGACCTACATATTTGTACCAAAAGCTTCAGAAGCATCAGGCAACCTCACTGCTTTTTCATTGACTCCTCTAAAGATGCTACGATCTGTATTACTTGATGCAAAGATATTGCAAACAAAGGAAGTGAGGTGAATAATTATTTAATGGTTTGGGGCCTTGAGCCTGGTAAAAGAGTGCCTGGACTGTAAAGCAAGAAAGAGCATTTGAGTCTTTTGATAAGGAGTTGTCAACATCTTGTCCACAGCTGGATCAGGAGGCAGACTAATTGTACTTGTCACAGTAAACAAGAAGTCCTTTCTTAGAGGTGAGTGGCTTGCCAGATAATCCCTCGCAAGGCCTCAGAAGGCATCTCTCTATAAAATGAATTGTCAAAGGTTTCCAGTGTCTGAAAATCCTGCCTGCAGGAAAGGGCCATCCTTCCTACAGGACATGGCTCTGTGGGTGCTGCTTTTTGGTGACCAGCTCTGAGACGCATTCAGGGCCAGACCACGAACCTGCACCTGGCATGGCCAGAGCTCTGCTAGCTCACATAAAACTGGAGTGATTGAGCACTGAGCAAACACATAAGTGAAAAAAAGGTAGGAGACAGCAAAATATTTTTATAATATTACTTCTAAGACTGACCTTTTGGTGCACTGTAGGTGTGATGAGTGTTATCTGAAAGAGTTTATTATGCAGGAGAAGAAACACAGGAGATTCATTTGGAGACAGGAGCAATAGGCATGTAGACATGTCTACATCAAGTGATTTTGTATGAAAATATGAAATCAAGTGATTGATCAAGTGATTTCATATTTTGTTCATAATGTGTTCACATCACCTCATAAAGTGAAAACCCTTTAGTCAGTCTCTTCCGAATACTGTGTTATTTTGGTAGAGAGAGGTTAAGGGGCCGAAACCTGGACACTTCCACATGCTGTTTCAGTTGACCTGAGTTATGAATATAATCCACTCCATCTGGTGGCCATGTTCCTCCTGATTGGTATCACTTGAGAATGATAAAGAGAATGGATTTTCTATTTTATACTCAATCTAACAGCCACTACAAGTTGTAAATCCACCCTTGCAGTTGTGCCAGATTATGGGGTTATTCCCACCCAGGGCCAGGACTCTGTATTCTTCTGTTGAACTTCATGACACTTCTGTTGGATCAGTCCTCAGGTTTGACAAGGTTCCTCTGGACTGAAGTCCTGCCATTTGTCTTCTCATCCACTTCCTCTAATTTAGTATCATCCACGGATTTGCTGAGTTTATCAATGTCATTACTGAAGTTGCTGACAAGATGTTGAACCCCTGGGTCAACCCACTTGCTGCTAGTTGCCACTGACTACAGTGCTTTGAGACTGGCAATTTTTAACTCACTTAAGTGTCCGATCATCCATTCCATATCACTGCAGTGTCCAAATAAACAACACTGACAGAGAATAAAAAAGTCTTATTAAAGTCAGGGTGTATAACACCCACCTTTCTCCCTTCCTCCACATAGCCAGCTGTCTCACCATAGAAGGTGGGTCAAACATATTTTGTCCGTGGTAAATTTATGCTAGCCCTGATTAACTATCTTGGCCTTTGCATGTTTGGAAACATCCAAACATCAAAACTTGTGTATAAATGTTTGCACTTGTGTGTTATTTGTACAATGGCACCACAGCGAACTCCAGCCAGCGATGACTGGACCAGGGGCTGTACAAAACAGCCCCAAGGTAATCCCT